CAAATCTCCGTCCCAGTCTCAGGTCTTTTGCAGACTCCATCAGGTTTCCTTCCAGAATAGTCCTGTATTTGGCTCCATCCATCTTCCCATCAATTTGAACCATCTTCCCTGTCCGCCATTTCTTAAAGATATCCATAAAAAGTGTCGTTTAAAGTTTGCCACAAGCCACCTGGGAGACACACCAAACATGTGGAAGAAGGTGCTCTGGTCAGATGAAACCAAAATCGAACTTTTTGGCAACAATGCAAAACGTTATGTTTGGCGTAAAAGCAACACAGCTCATCACCCTGAACACACCATCCCCACTGTCAAACATGGTGGTGGCAGCATCATGGTTTGGGCCTGCTTTTCTTCAGCAGGGACAGGGAAGATGGTTAGAATTGATGGGAAGATGGATGGAGCCAAATGCAGGACCATTCTGGAAGGAAACCTGATGGAGTCTGCAAAAGACCTGAGACTGGGACGGAGATTTGTCTTCCAACAAGGCAATGATCCAAAACATAAAGCAAAATCTACAATGGAATGGTTCACAAATAAACATATCCAGGTGTTAGAATGGCCAAGTCAAAGTCCAGACCTGAATCCAATCGAGAATCTGTGGAAAGAACTGAAAACTGCTGTTCACAAACGCTCTCCATCCAACCTCACTGAGCTTGAGCTGTTTTGCAAGGAGGAATGGGCAAAAATTTCAGTCTCTTGATGTGCAAAACTGTTAGAGACATACCCCAAGCGACTTACAGCTGTAATCGGAGCAAAAGGTGGCGCTACAAAGTATTAACTTAAGGGGGCTGAATAATTTTGCACGCCCAATTTTTTAGTTTTTTATTTGTTAAAAAAGTTTGCAATATCCAATAAATTTTGTTCCACTTCATGATTGTGTCCCACTTGTTGTTGATTCTTCACAAAAAATTACAGTTTTATATCTTTATGTTTGAAGCCTGAAATGTGGCAAAAGGTCGCAAAGTTCAAGGGGGCCGAATACTTTCGCAAGGCACTGTAAATATGTCATCTATCAAAGTGAAAACTGTATATTAAATCAGAGGGAGATGTTACTGACTTGATGAACATGTTAACCAGTATGTGATACACTGTGTAACTGTCTCCATTTTGTTCTCAGTGAAAGTCCTAATTCAGCTCATTCTTAAATTAACTTCCAGCTATTTCACCTTTTGAAGGTCTAATCACATTTACTTAAGATAGAAAGTTACCATTTTGATTATATCCACTTGCCATTCTGCCTTCTCATACTAAAAAATAATGTGCATTATTAAAATCAGTGCTTTAATACAAATAGAAAGTGTTTGAGGTTCCATTCAGACCCATCACTGGCTTAATAGATGGGTCTGTTGAAAGGATACTTCACAGTGGAGAAGAGAGATGGTGGTGAGGTGATTTTTTTTTTTTTTTAATAAACTTTTTTTAAGCCAACCTTTTTACTTTTGCCATCTGTTTTTTTTCTCTCTGTAGTTCTGGAAATTGCCACAAGCTTTTTTACACACACCTAAGGACACACACACACACATGCAAGTAAAGAACAACGCTGTGTGCATGGGATTCTTTAACAGCGGTTGAACAACACCCTTCATCACCCCTAATGTGAGCAGGAAGTACCTACTGCAGGATTTCCATCTGTTCAACTCCAGAGTTATGGCAGTGATCCATCACACACACACACACACACATACATACACACACACCCCTGCACATACACTTCATTCATAAATTCGATCAGATTCAGACCCTGGTCCTCTGGGGAAAAGAGTGTGAGGGAGAACACCAGCAGTGTTAGTGAAACACCTCTGAAGTCTACTTTTAGCATGCTGTGCCATTTGGAGCCATTACTCAGTCACTCCGTGGTGCATGCTCAGAGTAGGAATGGTTTCTTCACAGTTAAAATATAAACCTTAATGCTAGCAAATGTAGCTTGAAATGAACTGATGTCCCAGCCAACAGAAATGGCCCTGATGTAAATGTACTTTAATGTTTAAGAGATTTTTATCCAAATTCACTCCCTTCTACTTCATTACAGCCCATAGAGTGTTGGGGAGGAACTATTAAACACACAAGGAATTTGTCTCCAGTACAGAACTGTGGCGCCAACTCACACACTGATGGTAGTGCAGTCCCTGCAAGGTGCTGACCTGGCCATTCAGAGCAACCTGGGGTTCAGTATCTTGCCCAAGGACACTTCGACATGTGGACTGGGGAGACTGGTAATTGAACCACTGACCTTTTGGTTGAGAGATGACCGCTCTGCCTCCTGAACCATCATTTTGTTTCGTCAGTGACATCATCATCAGAGGTATAGCACTGCATGACTGTAAAACAACAATACATTACAGTATACATGCCAGAGACACTTTTTTGTTTGAATGCAGGATTTTTAGGGCACAAGAGTGTATACATTTAGCAAAGTCAAAAACTAGTGCAAGAAAAATATAGTACATAGGGAGTGTGTTTGGTCACAGCCAAGTTGTTTGTGAAAGGTTGTTTCATTTCCTCATGTGGCTTCACAACACTGATACAAGGCCATTGATTTCCTTCTGAAAATCAATTCCAGTCACAATTTTCTTAACTCCCACAAGGGTTATATTTGTTAAATACACTGGCTTCAGGAAGCATTCAGACCCCTCCACTGAATGTCACACTGATTCCTCCTTCGTCCCTGGCAAACAAAAATTAAACATACAGTTTTAAAAAGAATTAATGAATTCCACGTTAAATAGTGGAATTTCAAAATCAATTGTAAAATGCATTTTTAAAAGAAAAATAAACAACCTAAACTTTTTTTGTTGCTTTATTGTGAAGTATCTCTGAGAATGATGTTTCACCATTAAAAACTGAGGGATGAGATGGAAGTTGTTGTTGAAAGGGAAGAAAAACAAATAATAAACTGAATTTAATAAATCACACTGAAATCTTGTCTCTCATGATAGAAAAACTGCACCACAGTAAATGGATAATGGTTCCGGAGATGTGATATATGGTGCCGGAAAGACATAGCAGTGATTCATATTTAAACACAGGGTTGTGGTTGTGTTTATCACAATGCTGCCTTTTAATGGATGTGAGACAGAAGACAAAGGTTGATCAAAAAAAAAAAAAAAAACTCTCATTGTAACTGTTGCTCAAGCTGCAACACTGAGCTTATGTCATATTAATGTCTGTTGTTTTCCAAAGCAAGCTTTTGTTGTGTTGTTTATGTTTTGGTTATCAGTCATTTCAGAACATCACGAAAATCATCATGTAGAAACTTAAACCTTTATTAGGATAGATAAACCATTTCACAAATCAGATAATCAGACTGTTTTTTTTTTAAGTTAGTTTATTTATGTTCTTTAATCGGTGCAGATCTTCAAAATCTACAGTGACAACTTCATTACTCATCTGCACCACATAAATCTGGCAACTATAACAGATGACAGGATGTTCAGTTTAATCAAGTTTCTACTCTAAAAGGAAATTGTTTAAAGAAGTTAATTTTTAGAAGGCTGTGTTTTTATCAACGTGAATATAACCTGTTCTTGATCATTACATACTGCGAGGTAGCATAGCACATTTGTTCTCACAAGCACAGAGAGCTCTTAGATTCGGATAAAGTGGACAACAAAGTGTAAAACATTTAGACCGTTTAATTTGCAATTGAGAGGCTTGTTTTTAAAGGAGAACACAAGAATATCCCAACATTTAGTACAATGTGTCACTGCCTAGAGATGTTGCCATTCATTATCCATCTCTCACTGATGGAGGACTGGTGAACAGGGATGTTTAATGAACCACTGGTGGTCATTATATTTATTTGTGGATTTTGGTGCTGCTGTGCTTAAGCAGACTAAAAAGGCTCTGTGCCTTTGCAGATAGTAGCAGGCAGTGGAACAGAAGATGGATGTACAGAGCCAGAATTTTTCATTTCAGACAAGGCAAATGCACCAGGGAAGTAATAATAATTAATGACAAAAGGTAAAAGTACAGCTGCAGTGGGTAGTGCTGTCAACTCACAGCTAGAAGGTTCCAGGTTTGAACTTTGCAGGTGACCTGGGTCTTTCTATGTGGGGTTTGCATGTTGGGAATCACAGGGGAGTTTTCTTGGACACAGCATCTAGTGATGATTAAAGGAACTGCAACATTACACACCTCACCCTCAGATACATTTATATTTTGTGGAGGTTTTACTAAGAACACTGTGACAGTGGAAACTGTCTTATGCTTATATGGGGCCCTTCTTCACAATGAAGCACACTCAAAGCCCAGAAACTAAATCAGGGTTGTTTCCTTTATTTATTACCTGGGGTAGTGGTTCCTTACATGACTCAGGGCACTTTGTCAATGTAATAAAATCAAATGAAACCAACTAACCCAGTGGAAAATAATTTTAATCCCGCAAAAGCAAGTGATGGCTGGTGAAACAGAAGATGCAGAGTTTATAGAAAACAAAACCCAAATAAAAATTGTAGCTTGTTCGTTGTAATCCTATAAATTGCAGCAATTGGTTCATTTAAAATGGCACCTTAAAGGCTGTACGCGGAATGAAGCACTGGGGACAGGGCTTCAGAACATTTCTCTGTTTCTGCAAAAAGAGCATCTGTAATAATTTGTCACATTGGGAAAAGAAATCTCTTGTCACCCGTCAGTCATCACATTAGTGTATATTCATGTCAGCGGTTCTGGAAGTTTTGGCGTTAAATGAGCTGCGGGACTTTTCTCGGCGCTCGGTACTGAGCGGTCTGTCTGATGCCCCTCCTGCCTGCCCCGGTCGGGTAAAAGGCGCATGTGTGTTCTTGCTGTTATGTGACTTGAGCCGCATCCAGACGCACTGGCCG